GCAGGAACTGAGTCATCCCCACTCCCTCTGGGGACAAAGACAGAAGACCCCACACAGCTCCTTCACCAAGACTGCTGGCACAAGAGGAAGAGCATGAGCTCAGGCATCAGAAGGCTCAGGTCCCAATCCTGGGCCTGTGTCAGATCCCCATTGCCTGGCACACAGTGGTCCTCCATAAATATTTGTTGAACAAATGAGTGCCATTCATGAGTCAAGGCATCTGACTTCACCTCCTGGAGCCCCAGGTCCTCGTCTTCATGGGAGATGATGATCTCAAGCTCTGTTGATTAAATGAAGTCATATAAATGTGCTTCGTATGTAGTGGCTGCTCAATATGTCTTGGCTCCTTGGCTCCTGGGTTCATCTGGACCATGACCAGCTTTGAAATGTCCAGTCCAGGTCCCTGGGGTTGAAGGGAGTGTGAGCCTGTCTGGTGGCTGATGAGGGAGGCGGAGGCTCTTTGCAGATTTTGGAACAAGTCTGGCCTCTGCGTGGCCTTGGACAAGTTGCCTAACCTCTCTGGGCCTTCCTTCTCCCATCAGTACACTGGAGATTGATCATAAGGGGCCCCAGAAAGTGGAAAATGCTGAGCAGGCAATAGGCCTTGGGATGATGGTAGATTTGGGGGAGGGTGAGCCCATTCCCATGATCCCAGTGGACTGCTCTAGCCAGCCACTGGTCCCAGACCAGTGAGGCTACTGGGTGGACAGAGCAGTATCTGGGAGTTGGACATCCAGGACAGACCCCTCATCTGGGCTCTTTCAGGCTCCGGCCCTGATGGGGCAGAGGAAATCAAGCGACATGTCTTCTACTCCACCATTGACTGGAATGTGAGTGTGTCTCTCCACCCCAGTACCCCAGTCAGGGCTTCTGCTATGGTGGGAGGGAGCTTCTACTGACGAGGGCCTCAGGTATGGAGCAGAGGGTGACAGCATGGCCTCGGAGGCAAGGCCTGGCTTCCCAAGGGCAAACAACCATGCCCCATCTGCATGGCTCCAGGCCTGTCACCTCCTCTTGCACTGGCCCCCTGACAGGCCGTGGGAGCACTGTGGTGACTGGAATGCCCACCCTGCCTTACAGAAGCTGTACCGCCGTGAGATCAAGCCGCCCTTCAAGCCGGCCGTGGCGCAACCCGATGACACCTTCTACTTTGACACTGAGTTCACATCCCGTACACCCAAAGGTCTGGTTTGTTTTGTGTTGGTACAGAAGGGAAGCAGGGAGTCAGGGGCACCTTGGGACACAGGGGTGGTCAGGACTCTGGCAGGCCCAGGTATGTGGGCAGACAGGCGGGAGGTCTGACTCTTTGTCCCCATCTCATTCTGCCTGACTCCCACTCCAGGACTCTATGGGCTCTTTGTGTCTGGGTGAGGGGGTGGGGGTGAGTGGTTGGTTAAGGGCACAATAGAAAAGTCAGGACCCCTGCCCCGGGCATCTTCCAGCCCACTGGGAAGACAAACACATCAAGCTCACACGTCAGGGCTACAGAATCTGACCCAGTAAAAATGTGAGATAGAGACAGTCTGGCAGAGCAGAGGTGATAGCACCCACAAGTCAGGGGCAAGTGTGGGAATCTGCTTTGGCAGTCAGGGGCAAGTGTGGGAATCTGCTTTGGCTGTCCTGACCACCAGCCCTCAGTGTGCTCATCTGGAATATTGGCTTAGCCATAGACCCACTTAGCCCCTGGGGTTACTGGAAGAAGCCAGTGAGGGGTCTTCTGGGAGGGAGCTTGTTATATCCTAACATTTGGCCAGATATTATAGGTGGATGTATTAATTCTGGAAGTCCTTTTGAAGGGACTGGTTTTAACAGAGGGTGCTTTTCTCACAGCTTACATATCTCTGATGACAGGGAGCTCAGTGTTTCTCCAAGCAGTTTGTCCCATCTTTTTTCATTTATCTGATAAATATTTACCAGGTCCCTACTGCGTGCCAGCCATGGGGGAGTTGATGGTGAACAAGACAGACCCAGGCCCTGTCTTCTTATGGCTCAGTGTATAGTGAGGGGAGAGACACGAAAATGGCTACTGGGCAGCATGACAAGTGCAGCTTAATAGGGGCGAAGGGTTGGAGGAGCAGCCTCAGGCAAGGCTTCTCAGAGGAGAGAGTGAGTGAGTTGAGCCTCAAAGTGTAGATGAGGAGAGAATTATCTAGTTAGAGGGAACAGCATGTGTAGTGTCTCAGTCTCCTTTCGGGATCTGAGAAGTTGACCTGGCTGAGCTGTAGAGTGGGGAGAGAGGAGGCTAAGATCAATCACAAGGATCCCAATTGCTAGGCGGAGGAGTTAGGCTTTCTCCTGAGGGCAGAGGGGAGCATTTGAGAGGTACGGGCAGAGGTAGAACCATCTTTTGGCTGCTGTGCCAGAAGAGCTGAAGGGGCAGATCTGAGGCCAGGAGGCCAGGAGGAGGCGGCCAGGAAGGGATGGAGTGTCTTGACCTGGGCCAGACACTGGATGTGGGAGTCTTATCTTTGTCTGTCAAGGCTGGGCTGGTCTAATCACACATGAGCAGATGGGCTAGCCAAGGCCTGGGATCAGGGATCCTGTCCAGGCTCCCTCCATGGCCAGCCTCTGAGGCAGGCCTAGAAGTCCCATGGTTTCTCTCTGCTGGGCTGCCTCAGGGTCAAAGGCACCTTCGTAGGCTCACATCCTCCTCCTACTCCTGCAGACTCCCCAGGCATCCCCGCTAGTGCTGGTGCCCATCAGCTGTTCCGTGGTTTCAGCTTTGTGGCCACTGGCCTGATGGAGGATGATGGCAAGCCTCGGGCTACACAGGCACCACTGCACTCGGTAGTACAGGTAAGGCGGGCAGGAGACTGCTGCCCAGTTGTCCTTGTCCACTTAGAAGCTGTAAGGCAGAACAGTTAGGATACAGGCTCTGGAGTTGGACAAGCCCGGGTTCAAACTCTGATTGCAACCGTGTAGCCCATTGGGCTTCCAAACTTCCTTGGGCCTCAGTTTCCCCATTTGTAAAACAGGGATAACAACATGGATATTTCCCGGCCCAGCCAGAGACATTGTAGAACCTAGATAGGTGTAAGGTGGTTGGTGCCCAGGGTGCTGGGACGTGGCTTTCAGGTCCCCAGCAGGGATGGGTGGCAGGGGCTCATATCTCCTCACACTTGTCCCCCATTTGCATACTGTCCTGGCTCCATGGAAGATATTTAGAATTGAGAAACAAGAATGTAGACCTGGAGCTCATTCCCTGGGTTCAGAACTTCCAAGGTGAGGGATTTTGAGATACTTACTCTCCCAGTGCCTCAGTTTCCTCATCTGTAAACGGGATGATGATAGAAACTTTCTCCACTGGGCTATTGTGACGATTACATAAGTTAATATGTGTAAAGTTCACATAATTATATAATTTATTATCCAGCTGGGACATCTTTGTCCAGGACAGATGTTAAACCAGACTGGTTGTGAGGACAGTGGGTATAAATCAGGACTGTCCATGGGGTCACTTATGGAAAGTGCTCAGAATAGTGCCTGCTACACACTAAGCACCATAGAAACATTTGCTATTGTCAGTGTCTCAGAATCTTGAGACACCACATGAGCTGGGCTGTGACACCCAGAAAGGGAGGCAACTCACCCAAGGCCACAATAAGTGGTAGAACTGGGACCCAGCTCAGGGCTCCTCTGTCCCTCTCAGGGCAGTGGTCCCCTTATGGGCGGGAAAGCTGGTTTTCCCAGGCTTTTCAGTGTGCGTTGCGACTCTGTTGCCTGCCCCCTCCACCACCGTCTGACTGCAGGGTGGGAGCCAGTGAGTGTGCCCATCATATAGAGTGGAAACCTGAGGCCCAGAGAGGGGCAGATTCTTGCCTGAGTTCACACAGCCAACATTCTACCCTAGGCCTCCTGGCTCTTGCCTGGTGCCATCTCCACTGAGGCAAGGCCTTGGGTGCTGGGAGATGACCCCTGCATTCAAGAGCAAAGTGTCAGCCCTACTTCTTGGTCTCCTGCAGCAACTCCATGGGAAGAACCTGGTTTTTAGTGACGGCTACGTGGTAAAGGAGACGATTGGTGTGGGCTCCTACTCTGTGTGCAAGCGCTGTGTCCACAAGGCCACCAACATGGAATATGCTGTCAAGGTGGGCCTCCGACTGTGTGTTGGCCATAGCTGCTGGGCCGGGGGGAGGCAGATGTAGCCTTGGCCTTTTGGCAGGAGACGGGTTGGTGCTTGAGGCTCTGAATGGGTAAAAGCTGTGCAATGTGGGCTCTGCGGGAGGGAAGGACTCTGGAGATGGTCCCCCTGACACGGCCACATGCACCCCTTTTCCTCAGGTCATCGACAAGAGCAAGCGGGATCCTTCAGAAGAGATTGAGATTCTTCTGCGGTACGGGCAGCACCCCAACATCATCACTCTGAAGGATGTGAGTGGGCGTCCTTGAGACTGGGGTGGGGACTGAGGCATTCGACTCTAGGATTTGTCTTGGCTGCCATTCCTTTGACTTATAATCCTCCTCTGCTCATGGGAAGGGAAGGAACCTTGGTGCCTCCTGTCTGCCTGCACCCCAGGAGCCCTCCAGTTCAGGCTTGGGCATTGTCTGAGAGCTTTCTTGCCCATCAGGGGTTCAGTGCCAGCATCTTCCTGTCCAGGGAGGATTACGGCCTAGGCAGGCAAAGGCCCTGCCAGGGCCACTGACACACAGAACGGAATACATGTCCGGCTCCTGTGATTCTTTCTTGGTCTGGTGAGCTGGTGACCAAGGGGCGCAAGCCTAGCTTCGAGGGAAGGGGCCTGATGGCGAGGTCTCCTGCAGGTGTACGATGACGGCAAACACGTGTACCTGGTGACAGAGCTGATGCGGGGCGGAGAGCTGCTGGACAAGATCCTACGGCAGAAATTCTTCTCGGAGCGGGAGGCCAGCTTCGTCCTGTACACCATCAGCAAGACCGTGGAGTATCTGCACTCCCAGGGGGTAAATTTGGGGTAGGAGGGCACCATCAGCAGAGCGCATGAGTCGTGGGGTGGCCTGGGCAGTGGCAGTCTTCAACAGCCAGACAGAGGGGAGACTAGGAATGGGTGCTGGGTTAGTGGATGGATTTAAGGAAGG